CCCGCGACCCTCAGATTGTGAGTCGAGCGCCTTATCCACCTGGCCATGCCGAGCAATATTACATATGTGGACATTCGAAAAAAATCTGTATCTGAAACCCTTATGATTTAAGTTTATAATTATTATGTAATATCTTAGCGAAATATCGAATGCAACTGTGTGATGACTCTAAAGTTTTAAAAAACGACGTTTGTTCTATCTCCAAATCTGGTACAATTTAAAAACTTATAAATATAGTTCTACGTATATTTATATAAATATAAATATATATAAATATAAATTGGTATGGAGGTTCATTAGGTCCATGCGGACGTACATAGAAATTTCCAGTTTTGTATTTTTCGTTTGGCGGTTTTTATAGGCGTTTCTGCGTTTTTTACCACTACTACGCCCTCTGTAAATGGACCTTTACCAAATTTGGTTTGGAGGTTTATTGGGTCGATGGGGAGATTCATACAAAGTTTCAGTTTTGCATTTTGCGGCTTTTATGGGCGTTTTTGTGTTTTTTACAATTACATATAAGGGAAGCAACTTTTCATGTCCTGAGATAACCTTTCATTAATCATGAATTTACATAACTTCCGTCCAGGGGACAGTACTCCAGCTAGATATCGATAGTTTTCAACTTTCACAACTTCATAATACACGTGATATGGTGGGATACTCGGGGTAAAACTCTTTTTCTTAATCTGCCTTTATACCTGTCAATATTATATTCGGTGGAAAATTGGTTCTGCTGGAAAATGCAAAATCAATTAAGTAGACAACCGATTATGAAATAGGATTAGTGTATTGATTGGCTATTCAGAGGGTCTATAGGTAAAACGGACACAGCAGAATTAATTAAAGATTCCTATTCTGTTATATGAGAGAAAGTGATGGTCGAATACACGATATTACTGTGGCACCAAAATGTCTCTCAGGTTTAGATTTCCTCCCACGCGTTTTCCGTATTAATTTTCACCCTAAAGAAAAGCTTATCTTGTTTACAAATATAGAATATTTTTTTTATAATCTGTAATGCTTTCAGTAACTAACGGTTCTCTGTTTCGTTCCCCGATTTCCACAGTTTAAACGCACAGTATCAGGTGAAAATATCTTTTGCACTGTAGTATATCTGCAAAAGAAGAATAGAATAAAAATATGTACTTCTCAGAGTTTTTCTTGTAACATAACCTTCTGTAATTAATTCCCTGCAATGTAAAGCCTCACTGGAATCTCTATTTAACCCATGTAGAGAGTAATTTATCTGTAGGAATGTCGGGTGTCTACAGTTTAAAGACATCTGGTGAGCTTTGAGTTGGCTATAGGCTTGATTTACTCCATTTTTGCTTTCCTGTGCCTTTTGGTGAGGGTGGCGGCTTTCTTTTTAAACTAGCATTATTTTAAAAAAATGGCGCCTAGGAACAGTAAACTTAAGGGTACACAAAGAAAGCCTAGTCAAGCCTCCCAACTTCTTCAAGTCTAATAATGTTAGACACTCATGCAAACCAACTTTCTGCTTTGCCTTCCAATTAAAACGACGCATTTGGCAAGACCCAAATTTATCTTGCTTTTTGCTCAGGTTTCTAGCTCTCAGGTCCCAAAATATAACATCCTTAGAGAGTATGAACATTAGAGTACAAACATCACTTAGTTTGCTACCCAGTGAAAAGTATTTAAGAATCGCGCGTTCAAAAAGTTACGTATTCTAAAAATATTACACTGATTTTGAAAACAAAACATATAAGCGTTTTTACACCCAAACACTCGACAAAACAGGTAATTTGGGATAAACCGGCTGCAAATCAATGATCCTAATGTCAGCATCGAGTGAGTCCCATTATAATAATGTAGCGTGTACATAGAAGATAAGCTCTGCCATTCCTTTCTATTGTCAGGCCATGACAGCTTCGAGGTGAAAGATGAACATCTACTGCGCTTGCGCATTAGAAGATTCATTATTTAACAACAGGAAGTGAGAGTATTTCACAGAACTTTGGTCTCACGTTGATTAATGTCTTACAGATTTCATGTTATTTTCTAATAACTAAACAATGGCATAAGGGCAGTAGCCGTTAGTATGAGCTTTAAAAAGCTGCAAATTATTAATCATACGTTTTAGATTCAGATGTGAACCAGAATCAACATTTTAGAAAAATAGGATGTAGTTACAAGTACTTACCACATATATTTTATATAAAAAAACTGAGATAGGCTACTCTTATATATATTATTTTCTTTTGTTTGCTTGTTTCGCATGAGAAATCCAGTTGTTTAAAATAAATACACCTGTTCTCTTGACTTTATTCGGAAATATGTATAGAAGTTTCTCATAGTTTTGGTTTATTTGTTTGAAGTTAAACACAATTCTACTCAAAGGGCTATCTGTGCTCTGCCCACCACGGGTATCGAAACCCGGTTTATAGCGTTGTAAGTCCGCAGACATACCGCTGTGCCACTGGAGAGCTTCTCATAGTAATTAATCCACATTTTGTTTAATATTGAAATGTATAACAATATACAATACTTCGTAATGGTAAAAGAGTTGTTAGTTTGCAGTTAATCACAAAGCTAAACAATGGGATGTCTGTGCTGTGCCCATCACGGATATCGAAACCCGGCTTTTAGCGTTATAAGCCTTCAGACTTACTTCTGTGACACTATGGGTTTGGTAAAAGATATTGTCTTTAGCAATTATAATATTTGAAAATTTCAGTTTGATAGTTTAAATAAATCAACTGTCATCTTTAAAGGACGTTACTAAGTGTTTGATAATTGCTTACTTAAACTATAAACTCATTAATGTCACATTTTTAAGAAACAGCGAAATTGTTAGTTTGTTTTTGTTGGAATTAAATAATTCCTGAAATTCACTTATTATTTTTTTTTCTGTTATATATCAACTTTTCATTATTGCTGCTTGCCTATGTTTTCGATCTATATAACACTTGAGATGGGAGTCACACGGAACGTGAAATTGAAAGTTCAATTCAACCTACCATTTCGAGTTCTAATCTCGAATCTTTAATCAGGCTCTTCCGAAGCGAATAATTGAATGTAAAATGGGATCCTGCTTCAGAAATGGGTTTAATACAGCAGCCTTGTGGAAGTCTGCACATACTAAAAGTCGTTTTTCCTTCTGTGCCGCATATCCAGTTCGATTATGCGGTAAGCATCGTTCAGCTCAAGAGTGTCCTTTTACAGTTGTTACTAAAGTTGTCCTGATGAAAAATATTTGTTAGTGTAAAATGTCTAAGAAATCACGTGGTCATCGTACAGGCGACTCGTTTACGGAAATAAAATAATGTCCAGTAATTCTTCAATCAAGATGTTTTAAACACATATTAATTTAGTATAGTTATTAGAAGAAAACTATAGGCCTTAAATGAGGTTCACA